GACAGGGAAGAAGTGTAGCATGTTGTAGCATGTATCAGGATTTCATTTCTTTTTATGGCTGAATAATAGTCCATTGTACAGACGTAACACATTTTGTTTATCCGTTTGTCAGCTGATGTACATTTGGGTTGTTGCCCACTCTGGGCTATTATGAGTAATGCTGCTATAAACATTTGTGTACACGTTTTTTAAAGATTTTTTTGTTTGTTTTTTTGTTTGTTTTTTGTGAAGAAGATCAGCCCTGAGCTAACATCCATGCCAATCCTCCTCTTTTTGCTGAGGAAGACCAGCTCTGAGCTAACATCCATTGCCAGTCCTCCTCCTTTTTTTTCCCCAAAGCCCCAGTAGATAGTTGCATGTCATAGCTGCACATTCCTCTAGTTGCTGTATGTGGGACGTGGCCTCAGCATGGCTGGAGAAGCGGTGCATCGGTGCGCTCCCGGGATCCGAACCAGGGCCGCCAGTAGCGGAGCACGCGCACTTAACCACTAAGCCATGGGGCCGGCCCTGTGTACACGTTTTTATGTGGACATATATTTTCATTTATCTTGATTATACATACATCTAGGAGTAGAATTGCTGGGTCTAATGGTAACTCCATATTTAATTATTTAAGGAGCTACCAGACTGTTTTCCAAAGCAGCCACACTATTTTACATTCCCACCAGCAGCGTATGAAGTGACAAACACTTGTTATTATCTGACTCTTTGATTCTAGCTGTCCTAGTGGGTGTGAGGTAGTATCTCACTATAGTTTTGATTTGCATTTCCCTGATAATTGACAATGTTAAGCATCTTTTCATGTATTTATTGGCCATTACCACTTCATTTATTAAGGATAATTTTGCCAGATATAGAATTCAGGTTGATAGTTCTTTTCTTTCACCACTTGAAAAATGTTGTGCCACTTTCTTCTCTCCCCCGTGGTTTCTGATGAGAAATCCGCTATCACTTTAGTTGTTTTTCCCCTATAGATAAGGTGGTGTTTCTCTCTTGCTGATTTCAAGATTTTTTCTTTGTCTTTAGTTTTCTGAAGTTTGATTATAATGTGCCTTGGTGTAGATATCTTTGGTTTATCCTTTTGGGGTTTGCTCAGCTTCTTGAATCTCTAGGTTGATCTTCTTTTGCCAATTTTGAGAAATTTTCAGCCATAATTTCTTCAAATACTTTTTTAGCCCCACACTCTTTCTCCTCTCCTTCTGGGACTCTGATGACACAAATGCCAGCTCTTTTGTTATAGTCTCACAGGTCCCTGAGGCTCTGCTCATTTTTTTTCCAATTTTCTTTCTGTTGTTCAAATTGGGTAATTTCTACTGTTCTATTGTCATGTTCTCTGATTCTTTCCTCTGTCCTCTCTATTCTGCTGTTGAACGCATCCATTGAGTTTTAAAATTTTAGTGTATTTTTCAGTTCTAAAATTTCCATTTGGTTCTTCTTAATATCCATTTCTTTCTTGAGACTTTCTATTTTTGCATTTCAAGTATATGAAACTTGTTTATGATGTCTGCTTTAAAATTCTCGTAAGAGGAATTTGTGTCATCTCGATGTTGGTGTCTGTTGATTATCTTTTCTCATTCCAGTTGAGATTTTCCTGCTTCTTTGCATGATGCCTGATTTTCAACTATGTCCTAGATATTTTGGGAACTATGAGACTCTAGATATTATTTATTTTTTATTTGTTATTTTTAAATTTTTTATTTATTTATTTTCCCCCAAAGCCCCAGTAGATAGTTATATGTCATAGTTGCACATCCTTCTAGTTGCTGTATGTGGGACGCGGCCTCAGCATGGCTGGAGAAGCGGTGCGTCGGTGCGCGCCCTGGATCCGAACCCGGGCTGCCAGCAGCGGAGCGCATGCACTCAACCACCAAGCCACGGGGCCGGCCCAATCTAGATATTATTTAAATCTTGTGTTTAGCAGGCCTCCTCCAAGACTATTCTACTAGAAAGGAGAATCTCCTCCTTACTGCCAGGTAGAGGTCAAAGTACAGGTTCCCCACTTGGCCTCCTTTGACACCCCAGAGGGGGACAAGCACCTTGTTGCTGCTGGGTGGGGGTGGAACTTCAGACTCGCCACTACATTGCCACTGGCACCACCCTGGTGGGGAGGCAGAAGAGCACCTCATTACTGGGTAGAGGTGGAAGTCCAAGATCCCCACATAGCCGACGTTGACACTGTGGGGGAGGGGCCTTATTACCCTCAGGCAGGGATGGAAATCTAGGCTCCCCACTCAGCCTTTGCTGACAGGAATGGGGGTGGGGGCCACAGTTTTTTCTGTGGCGCTTGGCTGGAGTAGGGCAGTTATTTAAAATTTTCTCTCTTGGGCCAGCCCCGTGGCTTAGCGGTTAAGTGTGTGCACTCCGCTACTGGCAGCCCGGGTTCGGATCCCGGGCACACACCAACGCACCGCTTCTCCGGCCATGCTGAGGCTGCGTCCCACATACAGCAACTAGAAGCATGTGCAACTATGACATACAAGTATCTACTGGGGCTTTGGGGAAAAAACAAAAGGAGGAGGATTGGCAATAGATGTTAGCTCAGAGCTGGTCTTCCTCAGCAAAAAGAGGAGGATTGGCGTGGATGTTAGCTCAGGGCTGATCTTCCTCACAAAAATAAATAAATAAATAAATAAATAAATAAATAAATAAATAAATAAATAAATAAAAATAAAAATTTCTCTCTTGCTACATTGCCCCTTTCCTGGTACTTTAGCTAGAGAGAGCAGGCTTTCTTGGGGCTGTTTTTGTCTGCACCAGTTGGCATTCTGGGTTGCTAGCTTCTCCAGCACCCAGTCCAGGATATATGAGGCAGAAGGAAAACTCAGGGAAATCACTGCTGTGTCATTCCTCAGGTTCCGAGGTCCCTAGCCTCCAACCCACAGAATCTTCTTATCTTTGTTTTATGTATAATGTCCAAGGGTTTTAGCTATACTTAGCAGGAAAAATAGGGAGAACTGTGTCTATTTCATTTTGGTCCTATTGGTTATTTTTAACTTAATTTTTTTAATAGGCAATACATTCACATGGTTCGCTCCCCCAACTCCCCAGATCTCCCTAGCCAGTAAACCAATCTTGATTATTTTGTGGATGGGTGAGTGGATGGGTGGAGTATATGCTTAGAGATTATGCAAATAAAGCAACTAAAAAAATGTCCTTAATATTTTCCACAAAGTTAGTAAATGTTGTTATGTTGAACACTGATTTTTTTTAAAAAATTATTATTTATTTTTAACTTTTTTATCATGAACTATTACACACATTTTGAATAATGCTGCTGTAAATGTTCTTGAACATGCCTCCTGTTGCACATGTGCACATATTCCAATTGGATGTATTTCCATGAATGGAATCACTGTGTCCTAGTGCGTGCATGCTTCAACATTACCAGATAAAGCCAAAATGCTTTCCAACATGGTTGTACCAGTGTACACCGCCGTCAGCAATATGAGAGTTCTCATTGCATCGTGTTCTCTCCAACGCTTTGCATTGTCAGTCTTTTTCTTTGACGACGTTCTAGGGGCTGTATAGTGGTATCTCATTGTGGTTTGAATTTGCATGCCCTGGTTACTAAGGAGGGTAAGCCCTTATATGTTTATTGATTCCTTAGATTTCCTCCCTTTAAAACGCCTGTTCAAATTCTTTGCCCAGTTTTTTTTTTTTTTTTTT